AATTAAATGTTGAAAAACATGTGCACTAAAATAAAATAAGTCAAGGATTTTGTAAAGGTTAGTAAAAGCTCAATGATAAATGTAGCTATTAATTTTCAATACAGATATGTTCCTAAATATGTTCCTAACTAATTCTACATACGAATTTCTCAATATGAATCTACATATTGCGACCACTTTATTTATTTTCATATTAGCAATATATCTACATACATATATTCTAAATACCTATAAACTAAATCGGGACATAGATATATTTTTTTGAAGTAATTCGACACCCTCGCCACCTAACGGCAACATTTTTAGTGGAGTTATTTTTTTCCTCCTAAATATGCAGAAAGATTCTGCGAAAGATTTACGAGACTTTATGCGATAGCGGCTACGCTGGGCTAGGTCATGTCAGTCGAATGGACAGAAGCGCTCCAGCTCTGAAAGTACTCAACGCGGGGTTGGTAAGACAGGAAGGCCTCTTCTGCGTTGGATATACCAGGTGGAAAAGGATTTGGCTTCACTTGGCGTTTCCAATAGGCGTTAGTTGGAAGAAGAAATATACACCAAATCGGACCATAAATACGGGTTTTCAAATATATTGACAACTGCGCCACCTAGCGGATTAATTACGAGCTAAGTTTGCAGAATGTAGAAATGCTCCCAGAGCATAGCAAATAAAACTTAAAGAAAAAAAATGTCGTTTACGTTATTTAGGCGGTTTTTTGAGGGAACAATAACGGAAAAGTTTTAGCTTGAAACATTATAAATATTAAAAAAAAAAATCAGAACGTGAACACTTGTTTCGAGTCACTGCAGTACGAATGTATGTACGTACTTAATCGTGCCAAATCGCTGAAGTTGTGTGAGCGCTAGTCGAACACCTGCTGCCAGTTATGCCTCAAATGCCTGTAGGGTAGGAGGTAAGTAAAAATAAAGAAAATTTTCCATAAACGTGGGATTGCATGCAAAACTGTGATACAAATTCAATATCGCGTTCGGGCTGCATGGTGTATGTGGTTATGGACACTTGTTATTAAATCCGTTATGAGTAGGGCTGCCAGACGTCCCGGTTTTCCCGGACATGTCCCGGTTTTAGACTATTTGTCCCGGTGTCCCGGTCCAGCCTTAAAATGTCCCGGGTTTCGTTTAAGTGTCCCGGTTTTCGATTTGATTGCACAAATTTTGAATAAAAATGACTACACTGAGAGAAAAACGCGTTGTAATATTAAGAAAAATTTTATGAATTTACTGGGGGAAATAACGCATAGTAAACATGAATATTTTTTATTTGATTATCATTTTAAAATGTTCGTATTTAAAAACAATACTTTCATACCACGCACACGTGGTGTTGAATCAAACTGAACATTTGAATGCACGTTTACATGTCTGGCTGTAGCTGAGTGCACGAAGATGCTTGCCACAATTTCCTAATTTCCAGAGCGTCGGGGTTCAAATCCCATTACAGGCAGCATGGAATTTAAATATTTTTTCTTTAACTTAATGAATTAATTAAGTGCAAAGCGCTTCATTTTAAGATTGGCGTATTTGAATTGAATATTTCTATACTAAATACTAAAATTTGTATACTTAAATTTATTACGATTTGGGTTGGTGCTCTTTCATATGCGATTTTTTTTTATTTAGTACGTTTTGTACAAGCAATAGTTGATGATTAATATAAGTATGTACCTAAATGACATGCACAGAGTTTTACAGTTATATTAAGCAAAAGCCAAAACAAGTTCACAGCAACGAAACAATTGACTGATATTTTAATGTTACCTTGTATTTATTTTTTTTCTTTCGTGAAACCTAGATTACTTATAAGTACCGTGCCGTACATGGAATTTAAATATTTTTTCTTTAACTTAATGAATTAATTAAGTGCAAAGCGCTTCATTTTAATATTGGCGTATTTGAATTGAATATTTCTATACTAAATACTAAAATTTGTATACTTAAATTTATTACGATTTGGGTTGGTGCTCTTTCATATGCGATTTTTTTTTATTTAGTACGTTTTGCACAAGCAATAGTTGATGATTAATATAAGCATGTACCTAAATGACATGCACAGAGTTTTACAGTTATATTAAGCAAAAGCCAAAACAAGTTCACAGCAACGAAACAATTGACTGATATTTTAATGTTACCTTGTATTTATTTTTTTTCTTTCGTGAAACCTAGATTACTTATAAGTACCGTGCCGTACAAAATTATTGGCTCGGAGACTCTTTCATCAGATCACAATTTCTAATCACATCTTTTAGAAAAATTTTGAAAATGTAGCTTTTGAGCCAATTAGTAAAGTGCAAGTCTGAAGTTACCAGAAAATTTCGTTGATTTTTTGCAATTATTTATTTTTTGCTGACAGTGTCTTCCACATACAAAAAAATGTCGAACATAGTTTGTATGGAAGAAACTTTCAGTAAAAACAATACCAAAAATCAACTAAATTTGTATGGGCTGCAAACTTCATTTTTAAAATTTTTATAAAAAAGTCTGAATAGAAAGTTGCGAATTTGTATGCAAATTTATTGCATTTTCCCGAGTTTTGCACAAAGGTTAGAAATTTTATTTTTATGTTTTCTGATGTATTTAGTATAAACTGTATTTTTATAAGGAACAAAAAAGGTACATGCATTGTGAAAAATTCTCTGTGCTTTAGTTGTGATAAATTGTTTTGTTTTGCTGGTGTACGTTGTAATGATCTCATGATCTCATGTTTTTATGTTTTTGTTTTTGTTTGTCAAAATAAAATTTTACTACATCCTTTCGTACGTAATTTTTGTCGAAACGAAAGGGAAGGGAGCGAGAGGTCTTTCCCACCTTTAAGTGTCCCGGTTTGACAACAGAGATATCTGGCAGCCCTAGTTATGAGGATATGTACTTATGTATGTGGATAATGCAACTGAAAGACACCAGTGTTCCCTTGGATTGGGGAGTGTGAAAGCAAATCGCCATAAAGCTATAACACCGTGCAGCAATCCACGTAAGTTAGCTAATTTTTAACAATTTCAAGTAAACAATTTAATTTGGCATGCCAACAAAATATTATCAGCGTCAGGAGCGTAAAAAAAACCAAATGACCAACATTTTCTAAGGCGTCAAAATGCTTAGTTACGATAATTTTTACCGTCTAAAAATAGCAACAAGTGTTTTGTTTTCACAAAACTTTTCTATTGCAGTACTGCTCTGCAAAAATCGAATCTTACGATTATCACCACACCGCCTGAAGCGGTTTCGTAATCAAGCACTTTTCGTGTAAGTTAATATGTAGTATATGTATCTATGTATATATGTATGTAATATCACCTATATATCTACAGAGTTTGTCACGCACAGAGTTTGATAAGCAAAACATTTGTCAATTTGTAGCTCATAAATTGGCAACGGTTCAGCTGGCAGTCTAATAAAGAGCGAAATACACCACACAAGCGGCTTGTCAAACATACTTTTCCCATTTTGCCATAGACCATGCAAACATGAGTCGTTCAAGCACAGAATTTTAGTTTTCTTTCGGTTAACAATGTAAAACATTTTAGTTTTCTACCATTATTCTCCCTTACGTCTTCACTTGGTGAAATTTCAGTTGCAATTGAGGCGATTTTACCATCCACATCGCAAGCGGTTTGATCAAACGTCAACATGGCGGCCAGAAAATCAAAAAAATTTGATTTTTGCTCAAATTTCCCTCAAGCGGTTTGTCAAACCTTCAAACACCCCATAGACAGCACAAATTGCTTGAAGCAAAGGGAAATTTCGCTTGGTTTGTCAAGCCGCTTGTGTTGTGTATTTCGCTCTTAAGCAAAGCAATCGTCACGCAAATCCCACCTTGCCTGTTCCACACGCCACACCATCTCCTTTGAAAATAATCAAAAAGTACTCACTAACATGTGGCAGTACTCATAATAAGTAATGTATTTCGTTAGTTTTATTTACATTTTTTTTAGTATCGAACTCTCTTCCCAAAGTAAGCGGGGAGCTGATCTTAGCGCATGTGACTGCGGCATTATCAATTACTTAGTTGCTATTAAATGGATTTGCACAGGTTTATACCAATCGTCGAAGTACAATGGATGCACTCGCCATCTGATAACAGACATGTGCCACACACTTACACTTCATAGTTAAAGTCCAGCTAAGTGGGGGAACTAAGCCTTAAGTCAAGCAGGTACTTACACACTTAGCAGAATAAACAGCTGTGTGGCTATAGTAGATAGTACATATGTACATATAAATATACATATAATAAGTAGGCTATAGCTTCGACATTATATTTTGAGTAATAGCCGCTTGACCGAATTGTCCTCCGCCGCTCGTGTTACAGTTAGGTACGGAGCCTAAGTCAAGAGATTTTTTCCAAAACATAGAAAGGAAATTCACTTAAAGACAAGGTCCTACTATTTGTATTAGACATTTAAAACATGAGATCTTTACAGCTAATACGAAACCTACTTTAATTTTTGGTTATTAAATCTCTGTTATTTTGACACGCGATTGGCAAATTTGAAGTTTTTAAGTTTCTAGTTGCTCCACTTTAGATTTTTCTTCCTATTTATAAATTTTATTGGTTGTCTTGGACACCTTTAATCCACTCAGCGTACAATTTCTTGTTCAATGACTATGTTTTTCCCAGTGTAACGTATTCGGAGAGAGTAATGCCATGTCAGAAGTTTCTCCGATATTCTCCCACTTGCACATACATATGTATATATAATGATTTTTCTACCCAAGAGCACAATTGGAAAGAGCGCCACTCAACGGCAATAAACACACAGAAAAAAATCAACAATGAAACGAATAAGAAAATGCATCGTAGTAATGCACCATACAACTAGGTATGCACACAGGTATCTGCTGGATACGCTGCAGAAGTGCAGGTATGTTATATGTACTTAACATATTTGTGTGCAGTTTTTACCCACACTTCAGTGCCTGCTCATTCACGCTCTCCGCATTGCGCTCAGCCACTGGTGTTCTCCAACAACACCCTTCTATGGCCGCTTGCTGCAGTTCGTCACAGACATTGGATTTGCTATAAAACACAACCACACCACCGAGTTCCGTTCATTCGGAGTCGAACTCTTGAGCGGAAAAGAACAAAAAAGCGGAAAACCAAGAAACAGCGAAGACCAAATACAAATAGAAAATCCTCAGCAAAACAAAAGCGAAGTGGTTAAATAGTGAATTGTATGTGCGAAAATCAAGCACGCGGTTATATATAAAATTAAGTATATAACAGCAAGAACAAGTCAAAAGTAGTTACGTGTGTAGCGAAGTTATTGCTCGCGCGAATTTGCAAACGAGTTTTTAATACCACAGCAAAGAATCTGAAAAAACTAAGAGCGACGCAGTGCATTGTAATTCGTCACTGGAAACGTGAAGCGAAACAAAGTCATTGGAAAGTTCTAGAAGCGAATAAGCAACAACAATAGCAAAACAAGTGACTTCGTCGTAGTGGAGTGCCTTTTGTAGTGGAATCAATACTTTTGAACTCATATTTTGCCTTCCTCTAATTCTAAACCGGCGAAATGGCTTTCATGATGCCCGTAATGAAGAACAACTATGACATCTACAAGGATAGTCGTTCGCGCAAAACTTCAGAATGCTCCACTACCAGTTCGAACGGTGGCGCACCCACATTGTCTTCCGCCATTGGTGGGGCACCCAGTGGGCGTGTGCGCAAAGTTTCTGAGTGCAAGTCAGAAAGTTTCGCCACCTCACCTTCGCACACCTATCGCATGCAGATGCAGCGCTGTCAGTCATCGCGCGCCTTTCCCCGCAACGCATCGCGCACCTCGCACTCGTCGGCCGCTGGCGCCTTGTCGCCCACGCGCTCCTTCAGCCAGGCGTCCAGTCCGCCTAAGACGATTAACACTGCGGAAAGCCAGAACGATATCACAAAATTTCACTTGCGGCTGGTTGAAAAGCTCCGCAAGTCCTTTCGCAAGGACAGCGCCAAACGGTCATGAGAACGCGAAAGCGCCCTCCATCACAGCAACAGTAGTGGCAGCTATCCCAATGACGATGGCAGCACAACAAAAGCAGAAAACAATAATTTCAAACATAATAGGGAAGCGCAGCAGCATCAGCAGCGGTCACAGGTCGACAGCCCTGAAAGTAGTGCGAGTAGGCGTCAGTCGGCCGGCCGTGATGTTGTCTGCGCGTCGGCGGATACCGCCACAACCCACAAGGAAAGCGGTGATAATTTCGATATCGTCGCAGCAGACGCCATTGAAGACGCAGAAGATTGGCCAAAGTTCGAAGACAACAACACCGTTGCGGCGCCGAGTTCGTTGGCCGCACACTTGGGACGGCGCATCACAGCGCCATTAACGCGTGCCAACCTCAAGCGTTGCCACAAAAAATTCGCGAAGCTGCAGCTCACAACGGCGGCGCAGCATTCACTAGCGGGCCAAATGGGCTCCGCGTCCACGATAGAATTGTACTCCAGCTCGGATGGCTCAAGTTTGTTTGGCGGCGACCGAAGACAACTGCTTGCAGAGGGCAAGAAAGCGCAGCAGAAACGCATCAAGCAGACGACAACAACGAATGTCACAGCAATGGGCGAGAAAACGGAAGTAACGGAGAAACCAAAGCAGACGGAGGCGGCGACAGGTCGTGGTCGCAAAAAACGTAAACGCATGAATTTCCTGCGGCGCTCTACTTCCCGGTTTAGTTCGAAGAGCGCGCCGGGTTAAGACATGACGCTCACACACCAGAGCGTGCGTTGTATGCTTTCAGCTATAATTTGGGCTTCATGTGGCAGCAGTGTTGGCTTTAAATGTTTGGCGCGCATCGCTTTGCAACGCAGCGCAACGCAACGCAGCAGCAGAGCAGGGAAGTAAAGATGAATGAAGCAGTACTGGCGATACAGCCGCACAACATTCAGGGTCCAATTGGGTCTTGCGACTCGTCGCCTGACTGCAGTTTGTTGCACGCGCGAACAACGTGATCAGCATTGCGGCAGCAGCAACTGTCGCTGCCATTTCGAATGCAAGGTCGCGTGCGCGTCGGCATTCTCAAGGCGAGTAGTTGGAAAGGAGTGAATGAGTGATGGATACAACGGCGGAGGGATGAAGGAGGGCGCAACCAAATTGAGATGCGAGCTGGCAGATAGCCCAAATATTTTACATATATATGTATCTGAATCTGGGCGAGCGAATGCAGTGGTGGCAGCGCTACAACGGTACTTATTTGCGAAATATCACAGGCAATGCGGATAGCATGGCTATTTTTAGGCTCATACGACAAATGGTAAGAGGAAATTATCACAAGGAATGAACCGCACTATTCTAAAGACAGAACCCGAACTTTTTAAGTATATTTTGAATGTATGATTTTTTTAGAAGCAATTAAGTATTTTGGAATAATATTTTTTATTGAATATTATTTTATACAAATTTTAGAACTTATGCCATGTGATAAAGTATGAAACTATTTTGGGAAAGCAAATGCTTGTGGAAGTAACAACAAAAATATAGACATTTAAAGAAGTGAGCTTAAAAGCCGAATAAACAAATTTACAGCAAGTTTCAAACGGTTTTCAGGGAATTAAATGCTTCCAAATTTCTTTAAAAAATATGAAAACTATACAACGTTGAAACTGCCATTTCCAAATTGTTCTGTAGAGAAAAGCTTTGAGTTAATAGAATTTATTTTTCTGCACAGCACATAACATTACAAATATTTTAGAGCTGTCTTTGGGCTTCCATGAAATTGAACAGAAAAAGCACTTTTTGCTTGAAAGCAAATAATAATTAGCGAGAAGCCACAAAAGTGCCACACACATGGCCGTGGAAGCCCATTTACGCCACTCAAATACAATAAAAGAAGAAAAAACATTAGCTAAAAAACTGCTAGTTTCTAATTTAAGTGTTAACTTTAACGGTATCTAATAAAAACAAACAAAATGGACTCGTCAAGTATAACTGAAAGTTTTCTGCTTTATAAAATTAATAACTGCAATTTATGCAATAAATCAATGTTGAACATTATTTAAGTATTAGGTAAATAAATAGTATCTATATATAGTATCTATGTATGTAGGTTAGTTTGCTTTCTAATGTCTAAGTTAAGTGAAAATGCTTTAAATGTATACAACCTATACATGTCTACATGAAATTATTTGTATACTAAGTAATACAAAACAAATGTGCTATGTATGTATGTACATATGTACAATATATGTATATACATAGGTATAATAGTTCATAAGTATTTGCTTTGAATAATCTGAAGTATATGAAATAAAAAAAATAAATAAAAAAATTAAATAAACACACAAAATTTGTGCTATTTATTGGAAAAATGATTATTTTATAGGCTGTTTTTATGTGAGTATGTCTAACTTCACTTCGAATATGGGGAAAAATAATAGAGAGGAGAATATATTATTGACTTGTGGACAATTACATGCAATTATACTTACACACACATAGCCGTCAATCAATACGCACGCTGCCTATTTTACACGCAACGGATTCCAGCCCTATTCGAGCCAAAGTTGAATCCATAATGAGTGGAGCGGCCTACTGAAGGTTGCTGAATGCATGCAATACATACATATTTACAAGCCAATTAGATTTACATACATATGTACATAAGGGTAATTTAAATCAAATGCACCAATTAACCATCTGGGTGCGTCGTTACCGACATTCCTAGCCAAAAAGGAATGCACGCTATTCAACTTGTAAGGAATCAAGCATTTTCAAACATATTTGGCTACAAACAAGTGGATGGCATGTGTGTGTGTGCAAGCAGTTACCCCTCAGTCAAGCCCACTAGTTCTCGATTTGGAGCGCTCGTCTTTAACTAATTTTCATAACAGAGGTGCCTACTACCAACCGAAAAACTCCAGGTCAGATCAACTTCTTCTGCTTGTCTTAGAATTTCGTATTGAACCTTTTTGCAACTGGTATTCTTATTTGTAGTCATTGCCTAACTAGTAGTAGAGTTTACGGACTAGCTAAGCTTTTCCCACCAGGATAACATTGTCGACAAGCAGAACGCTTAACATCCAATAAGGAGACTGCTCCACTACGCCTTGGAAATATGACTTTTGTGCACTTTTCATTAATGGCAACTGGCGGCCTTCACCTACTTTCGTACGGCAAGCTTAGTGCCTTTGGGATTTTTATACAATTTAGTATGAAAATATGTATGTATATATGTATGTATGTACATTTGTATGTGGGCATGGTTATGTATGTATGTATGTCACAGCAAATACTTTTATTTGTAGAACTTTGAATGGTTTTGTAATGCCAAAGGATTTGTTAGATAATTTGACAGAAATGAAAGGGATTTCAGCGCATTTCTAGAAGATTAGTATGCACATTTGTATGTAGTTATGTAAGTACTTTGTACTCACAGCAAATAATATATAAGCCTACGCCAAAGTAAAACACAGCGCGACGGCTAAGTATTATTTAGTGAATAATAGAGAATATCAGACATATTTCTCTTAGTCACAGATATATGTATGTACATACATATGTATGCACATACTTACATACATATTTGTTTCTCAATGGCTGCGCTTTCGAAATTCTGCAAAGAATTAATGATGAAAATTTGCCAAACTGCCTTTCTTCGCATATATGTACGAAAATTTCTGTTGACTAAATAGAATGGCGAAATAGCAAAATTTTTGTTGTGCAACAGACTTAAGAGAAATTCCAACGACAACGTCAATAAATACCTGAAGGCGTACATACTATAAATACAAACATACGTATGCATATATGTAGTACATACACACATACAGTGAAAGCTCGATATTACGAAGTTGAAGAGGCTGGACAAATGCTTCGTTATATCTACAGTTTCATTAAATTTATATTTAGATTATCAAAACCCCGATACAAAGAAAAATGCAAAATTTTGGAATCATGGGGCAGAGCAAAAATTTTGTTATTTTAGCTCTGATCCAATATTTTTCGTGTAAAATGTCAAACAGCAAAATTACTCTTTAAAGTGAAAAAAGTATTTTTCCTGCAAAAACGTGAACCAGTGATCGCTTGACACTTTTCATGATTATACCAGAAGAAAAAGTGCGGGTAAAATCTTGCAACATCATTCTCTACACAACTCTCCAAAAATCGCTCTTATTTACTTACAGGATTTTGGAGCACGGGATCATTTTTCCTGTAACTTCCTGCAAATTCGTGTAAAAACCTGCAAGTTCATGGAGTACTGGATGAGAGCTATTATTGAATTATTCGTTTTATCAATGCTCGATTTATCGAGCTTTCACTCTATGTAGTGTATATATGTATGCAGTAAGTACATTCATTTGTATGCGTCAGAAGAAAATTCGCCCCTTTTTTCGTGAGTGAATTGAATTTTAACCGCCTTATGCGGTCGTACGTCAAATGTTATGCATTTTAAAAGAAATTCGCATGCAAGCACCACCCTACACACAAATATACATACATACATACATATATTTATATGTGAATGAACATAAAATTGGTTGCATTGGCGACAACTAGGCGAATAACAAAATGTACGAAAAACAAAAAAAAAAATATTTAATGCGATCTTTGTTATACGGATATGTTTGTATGCAAGTCTGACAATAAACAATAAAAATAAACTGTATATATTTTTTACAAGATATTTAGCTTTCTAAGAATAATTAAAAATTACGGCGGCTTGTTGTTTGTCTACCATATGACCTTCAAGATACTCGCACATATATATATGCGTATATATGTAAATATATAGAAGATCTAAAAGAAATAGTGAGCGTGAAAAGTCTGCGCCAGTTTATCGGGTTTTATTTGTAGTTGTAGATTATTTAGTTCAAAATGAATATGGAAAGTTCTTAACGCTGGCACAGTACGCACGTCATTTGTGCCATATATACGGAAATTCTTAGATAAACTTTGGACTTTAATAAGAATGATTCATGTGTTATCAGCAATTTCATTAGGAATCAGCAGCATTAAATTAACCCAATTGAAGCAAGTAAGAGCAATACAAACAAAAAACTATTTCTATTAATTAAAAATAAATGCTACAGTGCCTGGTTCTTGCATCCTGAAATCATCATACGTCCAAATAATTAC